ATATCCGCCTTGCAGTACTAATCGATCTTGAAGTCTGCATTAGCTTATCACAAAAATGTAACACGTTACTTCTGGCAGAGATGATTGGGGTGGCATTTAAGTGGTTTGTTGACAAACTGGAAAACTGTGCCACACTGACATCCGTGGGGTGATAATATAGACGTGTTGCTAAATATTATGTATAACAGAAGTGACCCAGCCTTAATTACCAGCCGAGTTTGTTTGGGGTTTTTTTCCGCTCTTATCCGAGAAAGCTGAGGGTGCGGTCGCGGAACGGTTAGTGCGCTTGTCCCCGAAGCGGAAAGTCCGGGTTCGAGCCTCGGTTCGGATACGGAAATTTTTTCGCCCTCTCCTTTCTTTCGGTAACTGTCTTACGGCGCTCGCAACTGCATAAGGTCATATGAGCGCGCGGGACACATTTAACTTTTTCAGCTGGTAGAAAATTGTGAATTTTGCCCGAGTGGCGGCCGAAGCCTACTCTTATCGATTTTAGACCACCAAGGAATCCTTAACGTGCGCAACTTGCACAGGGCCCTCCGAGATTCTTCGATCGCCCTTGTCCGAGAAGAGTAGGAGTAGATCTTTCCTACCAGAAGATCAGGGGTCTGGCTGAAAGACAGCAGTGAGAAGGAGCTACGGAGTAGCAGTAGAAAGGCTGCAGAAAGAGTCGGGAGCCCAGAGGAGGGGGCAAAGGAGGTGAGGGGGTGGGGACAGAAAGAGGAGACGAAAGCAGACGACAGAACATTGCTAGAGAGCAGGAAAGGAGGTGTCCACCCAGCAGTAATGGGTACATGGCTAGGAGTTGGGGAAATAAAGACGGCATGGAAAGGAACTGGCCACCTTACCACAATATATGACAAAGGCCCAAGGAGTTTTTTCACTACAAGGCAATCCCCAATGTCCGGATTGGATGCGGAAACAGCTTTACTTTTCTTATCCGAGAAAACTAGGTGCTCGATCTTACTTACCCTAAGATCATGTGTGTGTGTGGCTGAAAGACAGCTGTAACAAGGAGCCAAGGAGTAGCAGTAAAAACGCAGCAGGAAGAATCAGGAGCCCAGAGGAGGAGCAAAGGGGAGGGGGCGGGGGCGAGCAGAAAGTGAAGACGAAAGCAGACGGCAGAACATAATTAGAGAGCAAGTAGAAGTTGAAAGGAGAGCATTTCTAAGAGAAGAAAAGTTTCCGTCTATGTCAGATTTCGAACCCGGAACCTATAGAATGAGAGGCGAACACTGTACCTCAAAACCACGAGAGCCCCTCCCCCTCCCCTCCCCCATTTATTATGCTTCTTAGAAAGCACTTCTTATGTGGCTAAAACAGCACCTGTAGACTTGGATAGCTGGTATGTTCCTTAAAAACTATAAACCACACATGTTTTATGTGCTGGTCACTTTTAGTGAACGCAATTGTAATTTAAGTGTTTTTCGAGCATATCTACATCATCTGGATAGATGGAGTCAGGGAAACATTAACCACCCACGGCATCCCCCTGACCCAAGCCCGCCTCATTCTTCCCGAGACTCGGAGACGCCCAAAAGTGTTTAAGCGGCGGATAAAAGTAAAGCAAGTCTACAACATCTAGGAGGCGGGCTGTGTCAGGGCCAGTCCAGGATAAGAGGGACAACATCCCAGCAGGCTAACAGAGATTCACGATTTTTAAAAATAAATTCCATGTAGAATCTAGATAAATAAAGCGTCCCCACTCGTGAATCGAGACTTGCGAAGAAACAGGATTTAAAAAACAACAAAAACAACGACAATAACATTAATAATATAAAGACAAATAAATAAAATGTTTATACTAGGGAATCGAACTCACCCTTTTTTAGCGTGCGATGCGGAGAGCCTTACTTTATATCACCGACACTAGGGAAGTGAATTGTAGCCATCTATTTTGTAACATAAAGTATGCACAAGCATTAGGCTAGGCCCACTATGAATGATCTGGCACAATGGGATTTTCCAGTTCACAAAGTCACTTCCCTTTCCCCGAAAATCGAGAAACTTTCCACGAAAATCAAAACCCATCCAACAAGCAGGAAATAGAACCTTAAGACTTTAGAGTGTTAATTGTTTTGTTTTGCTATTAGTTGCCAATAATTCAAGCCTGTGTTTTTCGGTTGTTTTGTTTTATGATCAGTATCTAAATGTATAAAGCTCGTACGTTTTTTGTTTTTGTTTTTGTTTTTGTTTTTCTTATAGACATTTTTGAACACCCGAAGGCATTCGTTATTGGTAGCGAGTGCAAGTAGCGTAAGTTCTGTTTTATGAAATGTGACATTGAGTCTAATGTACGTCAGTGTGTGTGTGCGTGTGTGTGTGTGTGTGTGTGTGTGTGTGTGTGTGTGTGTGTGTGTGTGTGTGTGTGTGTGTGAGAGAGAGAGCCCTATATATACTAACATTGTACGGTGAAAATGTATTTATGTAAATGCTCTAAAGTTCAGTCACATTGGGAGTTTGGCGGGTAATCTGGTATGGTTTGTTGCTCCTTTTTTCCTATCAAGCATCTATCATTTTTATCTTTTCTCCTTTTTTTGTTGTTGTAAATTTTGGCTTGTACCACCTTAATCTTCGGTACTTATATGACCTAATTGTGTTGCGAGTGCCGCAAAACTTTAACTAAACCAAATAAGTCACATTTTGCTTTTTTTTTTCTCTCATTTTTTGTTGTACTCATAACGACCTCAAAGTGACTGAGACTCTTTATTTTTCTGGCCCTCTAAATTATTTTGAGACAATATTATTGTTTAAGAGGAAACAAATCGACAACAGCCATACTAATTTTACTTGAAATACCTCATAGATTAAGGACAAAGTGGCTTTGATGAGAATTGCTGGGAGAAGACAAAGACACAAGGGCTTGTTCTGCGTTATTCTGGAGATAGGAAGCGATTTCGTTATTCTGATTCGCTTATTCAGTTGTGTTTTGACTCTCTCTTCTCTCTCTCTCTCTCTCTCTCTCTCTCTCTCTCTCTCTCTCTCTCTCTCTCTCTTTCTCTCTCTCTCTTACTCTCTCTCTCTCCAGTATATAAAAGGGATGAATAATATACACACATTGATTGTTATGCACACAAACACACAATTACACAAAGTGGTCGCTTAAACGCATCACAAGGAGCTCAAAATACAACTGAAAGAGAAACAGTCCCAAGTGTCGTCTTATCAACGTTTCGAGAGCTCAATCCCACCCCCCCCCCCCCCCCCCCAAAAAAAAAGAGCATTTCTTAAAGGCCGGCTCTATTTCTCCGAACGTTCGGGAAAATAAACTTGAACTTTATTTCTCCGAAAGGGTTTCGTTCTGGAGATTTGTTGATAATAATTGCGAATGGCGTGGCCCGTATGTATGTGTGTGTGTATGTGTGTGTGAGTGTGCATGTGTGTGTATGTGTCTGTATCAGTGTCAGTGTGTAAGGTGTGAACGGGGCGTGGAGGTAGGAGGGATTTTTTTTTTACGTGAACGATTTTAGTTTTTCTTAGGTGACTAAATGCAAAATAAGTTACTGCCAAGGTCGATCAGTCTTGTTTTCTCGCAGTACCTTCTGAAGGTATTTTCAAATGAAGTATATTCCGGGCATGTTGCCCTAACCAGAGCTGAAGTATCTGAATATTCAGACATTTAAAAATCTCCAGCTCTAGAAATTGAATTCGATGCAAAAAATGCTTCTTCCATTCCTCGCAGAATGGCAGAATGAAAGATGACGCCTAAATCTCGCAAATAACCAAAAATTATCGAGAACAGAAATCGTTCGGAGAAATAGAGTTCAAGTTTATTTTCCCGAACGTTCAGAGAAATAGTCACTTCGTTTCTTAAAATGTATTAGTCTCAACTTACCAACTGACGTACTACTGCTTCGCTCCCCCTCGCTAGCACAACAACCGCCACAATTATTATAATAATAACAATAATAATGTAGGAAATGCAAATCAGCCACTACAAGTATAACTGTCGTAGTTTCACTACTGTGCTATTGCCTGTAATAATATTATAATACTAGATGTGTCGGCGTCAGCCCCACACACGCTTGGAATAGCACACATAAAATCTTCTTTGTGATACTGATCCACTCGGCGAGGTTCCCGCGATAGGCGTAAGGTGAAGCAATTTTTAGTTTTTACGTTCCGCTGTGCAGTGTGCATGACACAGTGTTATTGACATTGACGACGGCACAAGATACTTATTTGGCTGACGTAACACATTTCCTTTTTCGGAAGTACAAAAAATAATGTGATTGAGTTTCTTTGCACAGAAAGGAACAAAGGTTCGGCTGTGTAATTTCTCAGTGTGTTTCGTGTTTTTAGTTTTTGTTTTTAAGTTTTAGTAAAAGTTGTACCAAAGATCGTGGTAGTAGAGAATCTTTGGTTGTACGGCACTTGCAGCACAGTTAGGTCAATTACAAGTGCCGAAGATTAGATGTTATACACGTATAGCAGAGTAGGTTAACCAACCACAAAAAGAAGGAGGAAAGATTAAGACATACGCTTGGGTGTTTGATAGGGAAAAAGGAACAAAACCGCACGAGACCACACACACCAACCATCCACGTTCCGTGTTTCAGGTCAAAGTATGTGTCAGATTTATAAAAATACGATGTTTTAATAGACAGCTGCTGCTTTGGATTTTGTTTGAATTCCTCGTCACGAACAAGGGCACTTATTGAAAGTTGTGCCCTCTCGTGCTGTGAAAATGAAATGAATGCATATATTTATATGAGGTTGTGGGTACGTGTTGGGTGGGGGATATTATGTGAATGAAACAGCGCGTGTCGTGTGTTTGTGTGTGTTTCGGTTCGAGTGTGTGTGTGTGTGTGTGTGTGTGTGTGTGTGTGTGTGTGTGTGTGTGTGTGTGTGTGTGTGTGTGTTTGCCTGTATGCACGTGTTAGTCATATAGAAATCCGCGTTAACTTTAATGCCTCTCTATTTGCACTCCCGATAGGTAGCCTACCTGGCATTCTCTATTTAATTAGAATTGGAAACAAACTGACCAGAAAGCAGCCGTGGGCACATCTATAAAATTAATCGTGGTGGGTGCTTCTTTTTTTAAAAGCAAGATTGAACTTGGGCCATCCTATTTTGCATTGTTTATAATAGATCTAGGGGTGTTTTTTTTTCTCCAAATAAGGCCGAAGTATGCGCTCGCTACCGCCGCTGGTGATTTTAGTCGCCGACGCAACCAGGCACACTGGACATAATTAAACAACGAATGGACGCACTGCACTGGAGTAAATACCAAAGGAAGTCACTCTATATAATAGCTGAATGGTTGATGAACCTCTCAGAATTTTTAAAGCGTGTTTCTTGGGCTGCCAAGGTTTTTTTTTAATTAAAAGGAAATTCTACCACGGTTTCAGCGTTCTAAACTGATGCGGTACTCAGCAGTTTTTCACTGTTATAAGCCGTCGGTACTGTAAGTGTTAATATACTTGATAAAACTTCTCCCTATAAGGGAATCAAACTTAGGCCTCCTGCGTGCAACGGCGAAGCCCCCAACTGCTACACCACAGACACGGCAGTGAACCATCCTGGATTATCATGACTTAAAATGTAGAAAAAAACACTGGTAAGTGTTTTACGGCACTCGCAACTGCATAAGGTCATATGAGCGCGTCGGACACACCAAACATTTTCAATTGGTAGAACATTTGTTAAATTTTGCCCGGATGGTGGCCGAAGCCTACTCTTATCGATTTTGGAACACTAAGGGATCTTTAATGTTCGCAACTAGCACACAGGACCTCCGAGATTTTTCGCCCTTGTCCGAGACGGCTAGGTGTAGATCTTCCCTACCAGAAGATCAGGGGTGTGGCTGAAATACAGTAGTAGGAAGGAGCCAAGGAGGAGTAGTAGAAAGGCTGCAGGAAGAGTCAGGAGCCCAGTGGTGGGGACAAAGAGGATGAGGGGGTGAGGGAAGAAAGTGGAGACGAAAGCAAGCGACAGAATATTGCAAGAGAGAAGGAAACAAGGTGAAAGGAGACAACTTTTAGAGAAGAACTTTTTTCGGCCGCTACACGGATTTAAACCCGGAACCTTTGAATGAGAGGCGAATACTTTAACCTCTAGGCCAGGAGAACCCCCTCAGGATCTTTGATGTGATATTTGACGTAACTTAGTTGTGAATGAGACAGACTCCGATTCGAGTTGTTTGCTTTTCTACGTGATTCCTGACCAATGTGATCTTTTCTTCTTTTATTTATTTTTTTTTTTTTGGTAAGTGTTTTACAGCGCTGGCCACTGCATAAGGTCATATGAGGGCGATTAAGCCAATCTTTAACATTTACAGTGCCGAAGGTTCATATAGTGAAAAAAACAACCCAAGTACCACCCTAGTTCAGAACGCTGTAACCATGGTGGAATTGAAACATTTTAGAAAACCAAATGCTTTGCAGCCCAAAAAACACGCTTAAAAATCCACAGTGTTTCATTAACAATTCACGGATCACATAGAGTGAATTCCTTTGGTATTTTCTTCAGTACAGTGGTTCCGCTTGTTATTTAAATATGTCCAGAATTGGTGCCGTTATCAAAGAGATTCGTGGCTTTTGTCGACACCAGAAGTTTCAGCACGTCCCAAGGAGGCTATATAAGTTTGTTCTAAGGCCCTTTTCACTTCTTCATATTATGCCTGTCAGCATGAATGGATTTTTCATTTTAGTAGGAGTTTTACGGCACTTGCAACACAATAAGGTTATATAAGTGCCGAAGATTAGAGGTGTTACAAGAGAGTGACACAAACAAAAAAGAAGGAGGAGAGATCAGGACGATAGATGTTTGATAGGAAAGAAGGAGCAAACTACACAAGAGCACCCACCAACCACCCACATAAATGCATTTTCTACAACGTTTCAAGCAATGATGACAGCGCCTGCGGTGTAGCAATTGGGCGCCTCACCGTTGCACTCAGAAAGCAGAGTTCGATTCAAGTGAGGGGAGAATTTGTCTTTATAATTAAGAATCTCGGTCTTTCTGCCCGGACGTTTTATCCTTCTCATCGGGTTAGTCCTGACAGGAAGGGTCAAAGCCCGCCTCCTAAATGATCTAAATTTTGTCGATAGGGGCATAATTCACCTATTTTTTCTTTTTTAATGTTACTCCTTCTTCTTCTTATTCCTCGTTCTCGATGACAGCAGCTAGACGGTCAGTCCGATGTCGCGCACAAACTGCACAGTTTGCTTCAACTCTGAGAGACTGCCATAGAGCTTTCTCTCAAGGGAAGCCACATTCTGCCATGTCTGTGTACGAAGGGTGGCGTAGCGCAGGCAGTGCTGAAGGATATGGTTGGCATCTTCTAGGTCGTGTCCTCTCTCACAGATCGCTGACTCTCCCACTTTTAATTTGGTGTGCACAAGGTGTTTGAGTCTGTTGAGGCCACAACGGAGTCTAAAGATTGTGACCTGGTCTGCTCTATTTAGTATGTAGTAGGGGTCATGTCTGTTGTGCTTAGGGTGGGACCTTTTCCATCTGTTTCTTAAAGCAGTTTTTATTAGTGTTTTTGACTCTGTGAGATCCATGCCATCTTCAATCTGGGTCATTTTGGCCCATTCTTTGGCTAAGTCTTTTAATGTTACAGTAAACACGTCCTCTCCAATTAAAACACGTATCATTCATACGATCACTCCCGTAGCATGGTGAAGTTTTACTGTAGGCTACTTTTTTTTTTTAAATCTGAAGATGTATTACATGTATCACATTTTGAGAACAGAGCACAAACAAGTGAATGGGTAACTCTAATATTTTATTACACGAACGCTGACAGTATCAATAGCTTTAAAACATTGATACAATCAGGGTAGAAAACAAGGGCACAACTACTCACTCAGATAAAAAGGGCAATATATGTAATCATTTACTTCAAAACTTGTCCTGAACAAAAGCCTTCTTGTTTATGTGCGCTGGAAGCTCTTTGAGTCATCTTGTTCAGGGTCTCAGATTTTGAGATAGTAAGAAGAAATAATACAATTTATATTGGCCCACGTAAAGAAATGTCATTACAAAAACTTGAGAAAAGTAGACGACACAATGAAGTAAAGGTAACATAAATAGAGAACATTCGAGCTGAGAAATGAATGGCGAACTTTGATTGCAGACGTCTGTTTTATATTGGGTACTTTATGCTGCTAGCTTCTGCTGCTGCTACTACTTCTGCTGCTGCTGCTGC